GCTATCGTGGAGCTCAATACAATAACGTTTCTATAATGCGTAACATGTGCGCTGCCGTCCTTCTCGGTCACGACTTTCTCGGTCTACACGGAAAGGTGAAAATACCATTTGGTGGTGATCATGGTACTTTCACGTTGTGAGGACTCGCCGCTGCTAAAATTCAGTCACCACCGTTGTTTCCGCACCTCGCTGCAAATTTTAAACCCATCGTCACCAAGTCTCGAAGACATTTTACAGAGGACGAGCGTTTTATCCAAGAAGAAATACAACGCCCCATGGCGGAAGGTATCATTGAGCCATCTAATTCCCCCTGGAGAGCCCAGGTCCTTTGGACCAGAAATTCTAATCATAAGAAGAGGATGGTCGTGGATTACAGTCAGACAATCAACCGTTTCATACAGCTGGATGCCTATCCGCTACCCAGAATTGACAAAATGGTTGAACGAATTTCCCGCCACGCTGTATACAGTACACTGGATCTAAAAGGTGCGTATCTTTAGATTCCAATCGCAGATCACGAGAGACCATACCGCCTTTGAAGCAGGTGGCCGGCCATACCAGTTCTGCCGAATATTCTTCGGCGTTACCAATGGCGTTGCTTGTTTCCAACGCACCATTGATGAAATTCTAGCAACCGAAGGTCTAAACGATACTTTCGGCTGTCGACAACGTTACCATGTGGTATGACTATGGAAGACCACGGCCGGAATCTCGAACGATTTCTGAAGACCTTCGCTAAGTACGGCACAACATTGAACACTGATAAAACAGTCACGTCCGCTAAAGAAATCGATCTTTTCGGCTACCGCATATCCCAGGGTGTAATCCAACCGGACCCCGACCGAATGAAACCGATACGCGATATGCCCCCTCCGACGGATGCAAAATCCCTTCGGCGAGTCATCAGTATGTTTGCCTACTACTCGCCGTGGATATCCCACTTTTTAGACGAAAATCATCNATTAGAAATAAAACGTTCCCATTACCGACGACTGTTAAACACATTCGAAAACCTAAAGTCCGATTTGGAAGACGCTATGATTGTTGCCGTAGACCACAATCTTCCGATGGTTGTTGAGACGGACGCATCGGATGTCGCAATAACTACCTCACTTAGTCAGAATAACCGACCGGTAGCCTTTTTCTCACGCACTCTGACTCCTAGCGAAAAACATCAATCTGTGGTAGAGAAGGAAGCGTGCGCGATCGTGGAAGCCCTACGCAAGTGGAGGCACTATCTTTTTGGCACCCACTTCAAACTCATCACCGATCAACGTTCCGTAGCTTTTATGTATGACCGACGATAGACAACTAAAATAAAAGTTGATAAAATCCAGGTGACGACTCGATTTATCTACCTTTTACTACAATATAATCTGCAGACCCGGAAAAGATAGTCAAGTCGCTGATACGCTGTCTCGCAGTACTTGTGCTTCCAATTTTAACAACACAAAACTGCGAGACCTGCACGATTCTTTATCACCCCGGAATAACGCGAGTGGTGCATTTTGTGCGTACACGCAATCTACAGTATTCAATCGAAGAAATCAACAGCATTATTGCAAAGTGCACTATCTGCGCGGAGCTAAAACCCCGCTTTTCCAAGCAATCTCCCTGCAATCTAATCAAAGCTACACAGCCATTTGAGAGACTAAGCATCGATTTCAAAGGACCCTTACCTTCGACCTCTCAGAACCGGTATATCGTTGATAAATATTGTCGATTCTCGTTTGCTTTTGCATGTCCGGACATGCTTTCATCTACTGTCATCAACTTTGTCAATTATTTGCTATTTTTGGCATGCCTGCTTATGTACAGTCGGATCGCGGTCCATCAGAGCTCGCCAACAGAGCTCGTTCGGTTTCTGCGTAATAAAGATGTAGCAACAAGTCACACAACTGCTTACAACCCGCATGCTAACGGTCAAGTGGAGCGCTTAAACGGTACACTATGGAAAGCTATATCTATAGCACTGAGGACTACCGGTATGTCGACCTCCCAATGGCAAATAGTCCTCCCAGAAGCGTTACACTCTATTCGCTCAATGTTTTGCGTCGCCAGCAACAATACTCCTCACGAACGACTGTTTTCTTTCCTCCGGCGTTCGGCCAACGGCTCCTCCATACCGATGTAGTTCACAACTTCAGGCCCGGTGCTGCTCAAACGAATGGATCGAACTTCGAAACACGACAACTTAATAGACGAAGTTGATCTCATTAGCTGTAATCCACATTATGCTCTCGTGAAAATGCTCGACGGCAGGGAAGAAAACGTTTCCACTCGACGCTTGGCCCCACCGGGTGATCTCCTCGTCCCGAGACCAAAAACTTGCGACCTGACAGAGTGAAACAGACACACACACAGAAACCTCTTCTCCGAGATAGATAGACAATTCACTTAATCGTGAGATTTTTGACACTTCCCCAGCCCCGACACCTGTAGCTGACAGCATCAGAAATATTACAACAACAAAGAACGAGACCTTATAATCTACGAAACGGAAAACCTAGTAACCTACTATTTTTCCTTTTTCTCCCAAAAAAATCATCAATAATCGTTCGCGATATTGTAAAGCGAACTTCCTTCTCGTGTTCTTGTTATTCGTCGTGTTTCCGTACTGGTACTCACGTCGTTGTTTTTATTTTCCAGCCCATGTACCTATATTAATAGGTGAGAGCAGCGTATTCTTCCGATTTGCGCGTTCTCTCTCTCATCTCGACCGTACTCGCTTGTTGTCGTCCGTAACACAGACTACTGCAGAATTTTTATGAAGAGGCTTGCTTAATAAAGACCCACCACATACTCGGACAGTGACGACGCTCTTCTACAGCCGCTTATTAACTGAGCCTGGGTCCGGTTAGTTTGCAGTTTGCCAACATTGATCTACTATCCATCAACCAGGGAGGTGGTCGTCGCAAATAAATGTGCAAATAAACTGAAAAACAAGGGACTAATACTTATTAGCCTAATGATGGTCAAAATGACCACAGCAGCTGATCCAAATCCGTAGTCACGAGGATTTCTAGTTCCGGAGTGGCAATCGATAATTTCGCCCTTGAGGCTTGGATTCGCTACTGCTCAGTCAGCAGCCACCTTGATGTGGTTTTCTGAGTGTCAACGTAAAACCGGTCTTTGAAACCGGTTTGAACAGCATGATGATGACCCCACATGTTGATAAGGTACCTGCATAGTATTCAAGTCTTGGATGGTATGTCTGACAATGATGAATTACATAAAAATTATCAAATCGCATCAAATTTCCACCATCCCATTGAATGAAAAGCGATAACGAAATGGTTTGGTATTCGCTTCCGTGGGCAGTGTCGCTTATTTTTAAGTCATCATCGTACAGCGAAATACAAAGAAGCGAACATCACTGATCGTTGCCAAATTCACAATGCATATGCATTGGGGTTTGATGAACGGGTACTGCTAGGGTGTCCAGCCACTAAGCAGGAGAACGATTAGNNNAAGCAGCGGGTGAGGCGAAGTGGAGGCCCATTTAGTTGGATTAATTACTTCTCCACTGTTTTTACCGACTGAAACGCAAATTCTAATCGAACCCCCAATCTGGAGGACCAGGAGACTGGAATTCGTTCGATCTCTACCCTTCGACCTTCCAGGCATGATTAGATCTCCTGGTTTGACAAAAGTCATCCTGTGAAGCTCGTTGGGTCAAAGAGGTGCACAAGCCATCACACCACGTCAAAGTGCAGTTTCGTCGTGATGGGTATTTTTAAACTAAAATCGTGACGTTATGTAGCACCATACTGTTAACAAACTAGGATCAACTGAATCCGACACATAATTACCACTTACCCACAGCTAGTAACAAAGCAACAGTTTCTTCATGGCCTTCACGTGCGGCTTCCATGAGCGGTGTATAGCCTTCGTCATTAACTTCCTCGATATCCGCACCATATCCTATTAATAAGTGAGCCAGCTCCGTATGACCGCCACAGGCGGCCAAAGTTAATGGAGACTCAAAACTGTCTTGAGGAATATTAACGTTGGCACCGTGAGCCAGCAGTAAGCGAGCAACCTCAGTATGGCCTTCCATCGCAGCCTCCATCAGAGCGGTGTGCATTTCGTCCGTACGATGCTCATGATCCGCACCAGCCTCCAAAAGAAAACGTACCATTTCGGCGTGACCCTGTAGGGAAAAAAATAATTCGTGATAAATGGAAATTAGCTGTGGTTGGCACGAACGGACGTTTAAACATTTGTCAACGATGAATAACCTTCACCGTGAAAGCGATCGTAATTAACCTAGCATCAATGCACTAGTTCGTACAAGGAGTTTGAATTCTATCACTACCGTACCCTCATTTGCCAAATCAGATTTTGGTTACTCAAACTCTTGACTAGGGGAGGGACGCGTGTACACCGAGAAAACGAAACTTATTCCACCTCCCAAACTACTCTTTCATAGAATCACAAGCAGTGAAGTTAATGGTTTCGGTTCAAGTCTCAACGGCTACCGCCATGAAACTGCGGTTGGTAGTGTTCCAAACTGCAAACCAAATGAACAAGTAAGGCAAGAACCCCATTATTATCTACGTTAGCATTGAGACCAGTGTCTATGGAATCTAGGCAGCACGAAATAAAGAACCATTAGCGCCTGAGATAGCACGCAGTGCGCGGTAAAACCATCGTTTGTGTAAGAAAAACCCGTGTCAGTAATGCACTGCGTTAACACCCGGCAATTCGATTACCTGGTAAAACGCTGATGTACTTCACAAAACGGGATCAATTACGAGTGATAGAACGACGAACACTCGCGAAAAATCGGCAATGCATACAATGATCTCACCTTATAGCTCGCTAGCGTGAGTGCTGATTCTTTGAATTCCGTGGAGTGGGTATTGATATCACATCCGTGTTTAATAAGGCAACGGGCCACATCAATGTGGCCGTTGCTCGTAGCTTCCATCAGCGGCGTATGTCCTGTTTCATTTTGAACCTCCATCGGACTTTTGTATTGCAACAGGAGATAAACGCATTCCAAATGCCCAGCAGTTGCAGCGTAATGCAGTGCAGTGTTGCCAGTTGTAGACTTCTGACCGACACATGCACCATATTCCAGTAAGAGTTTGACAATGTCCGTGTATCCAACACTTGCGGCTTCCATGAGTGGAGTACATTCCACCTTTTTACCACAAAAATTTGGATCGGCCTGCAAAATGAGCGAAAATAATTATTGACCCACCCCTCGTTTTAAAAGCATTTCAACAATCCTGTGGGCATTGGCGGATACAGCACAGGTGAGGGCAGTTTCACCATCTGGGGCCACCTCGTTGACATCATATTCTCCGGATGGCAATAATGCTCTTACAGCCTCGTCGTCCCCATTTAAACATGCAGGAATAAGAGAACTTGTACGTCTGAAAATGAAATAGAGAAGAACAAGCTAACTTACTCTTCTTCGTTGCGAGTGAGCATTGCCACCTCTTTCCGTATTTCATTAAGAACTTCCGTATCAGAAATCCTCCTGCCATCATTTATAAGCATGTTTTCGATTCCCGCAGCCTGTAAAAACTTCCTAAACTTCAACTGAGTTTCTGGACAGAGACCGGGGATAGTATCTTCGAACTGGAAAATGAAACCAAGCACGTGCGAGTGGATGCAACATCGATACTGATTATACGGGAAGATATCAACTAAATGACAGATAAAGCACACAGTAAAGTGAGCAATACTAACGCGAATGCAAAGCTTCAAGTTATTAACGTCAATAACCAATAACAAAAACCTTAATCGCTTATACATGGCATTATTACATTGAACCATCAAATCGCACGCATGAAAATAAGAAAAAGCAACCTCAAGCAGGCACCACAAGGGGATACATGACCAAGACAAAGAAAAAGGCGTCGAAAACTCACTTTAAAATTCTGAAATTCACCCATATCCATTCATTCAGGAGGGTTAAAATAGGGCAAGACCAGGGAGTCACTTCCAGTCGAATAAGCCACGTTGTGCTAAAACAAAACTACTGTGGCGGGGATCGATAGAGTGAGCGCTGAGCCTCGGTGGAATGATCATTAATCAAAAGCAGGTTATCGCAAAAGCTGTAATCTTGAAGCTCGTTCGGTTTGCAGAAAGCACAACAAAAGGCGCGAGTTTGACTTTTGACGTTACAATTCAAGTTTCCATCCGCACATTTTTCTTGAGCCATCTACAACTTAGATCTTGGTGTAACAAAACGAATTTCGATGTAAAAGTTTAGCTGACTGTTGGCTTTA